GAGGTAGCTTCCAGGATGGAGAATCTGTTTCAAGGATATTAATGAAAAACACCATTGAAAATAACAGCATTGGCTGGGAAGGTGGCTCAGTGGTAGAGCACTTGCCTTGCATGCCTGAGGTCCTGGGTTCGATTCCTCAACACCACATAAGCAAAAAGAAAAAAGCCGGAAGTGGCGCTATGGCTCAAGTGGTAGAGCACTAGCCTTGAGCTGAAGAGCTGAGGGACAGCGCCCAGGCCCAGAGTTCAGGCCCCACGACCAGACCAAAAAAAAAAAAAGAAAGAAAGAAAATAACAGCATTAGTTTGGTAAATATGTAAATAGCCAAATGAGATGCCATGAGATACATGGGGATTTGCTGATAATGGGGGCAATGTTAGAAACAATATCATGGCAGGATGTGAGAGACAGAATCATTTGAAAGAATGAGAGTAGGAAAGGAACTAAGTATTAAGAAGATAATGCAGGACAGGATGAAAAGTAGTGAATAAAGTAAACAAAAATGTGAGCCATGATGATTTATGCCTCCTTGTAGAAGAAGGTAGATCCTGAGATCCAAAGAGTTGCACACAACAGTCTTAGCAGAAGCTTAAGCAGACTTCATATGAGCATTTGCTCACAGCAGTAGAGGATTGGCAGTGTTAAAAAATTTTGCACTGTTGCTATGAGCAATGTTTCATCTCACTGATCCCAAAGGTATCACAGATTGGCAAAGCCTCCGGCAAGGTTAATTACTCTCTTTAAGCCTATATTTTCTCAACTGAAAAATAAAGATAAAACTACTCATCTGATAAAAGTTATGAGGAAACCAGATGCAGTGGCTCACACCTATAATCCTAGCTACTCAGGAGGCTGAGATCTGAGAATCGTGGTTCAAAGCCAGCCTAGGTAGGGAAGTCTGTGAGACACTTACCTCCAATTAACTCCTAAAAAAATGAAAGAGAGAGAGAAAGATTTGTCATCTTTATTTAGACCCCCATGTCCAATTCAGGGTATAATGGGTAATCTGTTTATTTCATGGTTGCTTTCCTTTTTTTTTTCCCTGGGTCTTGAAATGTTTCTGTGAAAACATTCTTCACCTCTTCTAATTTGACAATTCTTTTAAGCTCTACATTTGCAAAACTTCTCCCATCTTCTTCCTAAAGCCTTGAATCACTCTCCTTACTTGCTTTTTCAGATGACCTAAGCCTTAGCCAGACTGGCACACCTTAAAAAGTTCACTTGGATTTTTGGTAGGAGGCCAAAAGCCCTGCATCTATGAGACTGGAAAAAAAAAATGCCTAGCATTCAGGCTATGGAAACAGATAGATAATAGGTTTAAGCACTACCTCAAAACACTTTTTAGATATATAATCTTGGACAAGGCATTTATTCTCTTTGTCCCATACTTCCTCATCTGTAAAATGGGAAAATGCCGCCTATATCTCAGAGTGTTTTTTGTCAGGATTACAGAGATACCTATGACAATTCCTGGCACACAAAAGGCCAATTAATGGTAACTATTATTAGGGGCCAATTGCCAATTGCCTTACTGAATTCTGCCAAGCTGTACTTTTCTAATTGGCAACAAAGTTATGCTGCTCCCACATTCCCATGTCTAAATCCAAAACACTTTATTTCAGTAATCTATAATTAATCTAATCAAAAGCTTAAACAACTCAGGGCAAGAAAGCACTAACATGGCCCAACTCATTCTCTTCTGAAAGCAACAAAGCAAGGGCAAGTTAGATATGTTTGCCAAGAGAAATAACGGAGTCTCTTTGAACACAGTCATTGCCCATAGTGATCAAGCACAGATTAGTTTAGTTCTTTGGTTAGCTGACATACTGTTAGAAAGATTTTAACTTTTTGTGCCTTGTTTTCTCTCTGACATTCCTAGTACCCACTTACAAGAACACAGGGAAAAATCCTCTCAGCTATTACCACTTTCACTGTGAAACGTATGTTTCCATTTCACAAATTACATCTTTAGAGAGTTTTGGTTTGTTGAGTTCACTTAAGGTAGATTTATGAAGAAGAACATTAAGTATAACCATAATGATAAGATCTGGCCCCAAAGCACCACAAGTTACAGGATAAAGGCAGGTGCCAAAGATGGAAAGTGCCTGAGTAACATGAACACCATATGTTCATTTTTATTAACTACTATACTTGGGAATTTGGGATCTTATAAAAAGTTCATTTCCCTTGTGTCACTGTGCACAGTAAGAAAACCAAGGAAACTGATGACAAACACATGATTGGAATAAGAGAAAACATAAATAGAAATATGATTGAACATAAGTGTTTGTACATGACATTTTTTTTTTTTAAAAAGCAACAATCACTGGTTACAGAGTCAAAGGCAACTGTTTTAATCCTAATGTTGCCAGTCTCTCCACATAGCTTAATTAAAGCAGAAGAGAGCCAAAGCCAGAATGATTATTTAAATTGGAAATCTAAGAATCAACAAACTCTCAACAAATTGAAATATCACAGTGCAGTTTCTTAGTGAAGTGACCTTTCACTTGGGAAAAGAAAAGCAGTCTTATTTTCATTTCACCAGTTCTATTATTAGGAAATTAAAAGATTTTTGTCCCCATAAAAGTGGCTCACAATCAGATATGATGTTGCATACCTATAATCCCACCACTCTGGAGGCTGACACAGGATTTTAAGTGAGTTCAACTCAGGCCAAGATCCTTTCTTTAAAGAAAAAAAAAAAAAAAAAGGTTCAACAATGTCCTTGCTTATGTCATACGCTTCAGGCTTGCCCAGAACCTCACTTGATTAACTTTCAGCCAAGAAATTGTTTCTTGGTGCAATTAACATTGTAAGACAAGCTCAGCCCTGTCTTTCATAGCCTTGAGGCTGCTGAGTAAATCTAGAATCATAAAACATACATTTTGATATTGAAAATACAGGAAGGAGGTGGTTCAGCAACAAGAAAGATAGCCAAGAAGAAAAATACTCTGGTGTGATAGCCTGTAATTTCCTAACTTCTTTATATAGAATCTATTGAACTATGTGTACCTTTCAGAATTCACAGTAGCATGCACTTAAGCCCTAACAGAATAAAGATCAATATTTCTTAATAGTAACTATCATCTCTTAAGTCCCTGTGATATGTGACAAGTTCAATGAAAAGACTTTCACAAATATTTCTAATCCTTAATCATATTTAGTATATTCATTTTGCAGAAGAAACTGACTTGTAGAACTTGGAAATCACTCAAAACCTGGGGATACCAGAACTCAAACCCAGGTCTGCCAGACTATAAACTCCATGCTATAAAAGAAATTCATTATACATTTTTTTCCCTCAAAAAAATCTAATCAAATTACTGATTTGAAAAAAAATAACAAACTTTTTTGTTGTTGTTCCGGTTCTGGAGCTTATATTCAGGGCCTGGGTGCTGTCCCTGAGCTGCTTTTGGTCAAGGCTAGCACTCTACCACTTGAGCCACAGCTCTACTTCTGGCTTTTTGGTAGTTGATTGGAGATAAGAGTCTCACAGACTTTTTCTTGCCTGGGCTGGCTTCAAATGGTCATTCTTGGATCTCAGCCTCCTGAGTAACTAGGATTACAGGCGTGACCCACCAGTGCCTGGCTAAGAAAATGATTCTTAATCACAAGAAAAAGATTTGGCCAGTAAGTCACCATCACCAGTCAGAAATATTCTTCAGATTCCCAACTCATATCAAGGTACTTCTGGCAGGAGTGCCCACACTGCCTCTTTGAACTATAATTCTTCCCAGAATTTTAATATTGCAAACAACAAAGGACATGTCCTGAAGCATTATTATAGTCTTGCCTCTGATATAATTTTTTACTCTATTTGGGTAGTTAGAATGAAAAGGTTATCTATAATACCTTAATTATCTGGCAATTACAAGAAAATGTTTGGCTGCATCCAAGGTTCCAATTGAGCTAATATGACCTACATAGTTAAAACCAATACAGAGTTCACACCCCATACTCCTGTTCTGACAGAATAAAATCCTTCACAAAAATATTTTTAAAAACTGTGTTCATATTTTGCCTAGGAGATTAGACAATCCATATCTGTCCTTCCAATGCCTTTTTTCTGTGTTGGTTTAGAGCTGAGGAGGGAGGAAGGGGAAGAGAGAGAGACAGAAGGTGGGGGATCATGTAGCCAATGCCCAAGGAATACAGGAGTATTAATACAACTGGTTGCCCTTACTCTTTGGTGTCCTGAGGCCTCAAAACTGTATGAAAGAAGCGGGCAGCTAAGACAAAAAGCCCCACAACAATCACTTTCCCAACAGTAGCAGTATTTCTTTCTAACATTCTCAGATCCTAATAAAGGAACCAAAACAAATCATTTTCTTCATATACAATGGAATAATCCTGGTGACGAACTACTGATCAGAGAGGACAAACTTCTTAAAATTAAAAAGAATTTCCCTGTCTCCCTTGTACAATCCAAGAGGATGCATAAATATGCCAGTAGCTGGAAAGGAAGGACACGGCATCAGTGCTGCTCAATGGAAGCGGTGGGCCACGAGAAGGCAGAAGTCATCATCTGTACAGAAAGCCAGACAACTCCGAGGATTTCAATGCAAACTAAAACTACTGCTTATTCGTTCTCCAAGTAAAAGAGATCTTTCCACCCTTGTCGCTGGGTGAACACGAGAGAACTGCGAGACCATCGGGGTCTCCTTCTTGAATAGTCTGGAAAATAACACGCCGGGGGGTGGGGGTGGGGTGGGGGAGACGGGAGCGTAGTATGAGAAGCCTCTCCTCAGCCTGTCTATTCCAAGTAGTAGAGGCGAGCGCTACCTCCATGTTATGCATAGCCAAGTGCGGCTGTGCTACCTGGAGTCTCAGCTTCCCGGCACCGGGCGCCGAGTGGCGGCAGGTCCGAGGGTGGGTTTAAGAGCAGAGGTGGTCTCTGCTCTTCTGATCAAAAAGGAGGGCGTGGAGGGAGGTGCGGTCATGCCTAGAGTATCTGCGGCTCCCCTCCCTCGCTTCCTCTGAAAGGCAGCCCGGCCCCAGTACCTTCTTGACGGTGCGCGGCGCCTCGGAGACGGTGCCGTCGGGGCTGATCAGGGCCTCGCCACCGTCGCGGTGCCGCTGATGCTGATGGTGGGGGTCGCTCCGCTTCATGGCCGACGCCTGAGGCACCTTCCCGGCCGCAGGGCTGAGAGCCGCGGCGGGCCCCGAGCCAGGGGCCGGGGGCCGCTCGGCGGCGGGAGTTGGAGCCTCGGGATCTCCGCCGCCCGCTGCGGGGGCCATGGCGCTCAGGGCCGCCGTGCTCAGTCCTAGCTGGGGCTCCGGCTCGGATGGACTCAGGTCCTTCAGCTCCACCTCCGGCACCTTGGCGGCAGCCGCTGCTGACACAACCTGCACCGACATCACCACCTCTGCTGCAGCCGCCGGCACAGACTCCAGCTCGGGCTCGGCCCCGCCTCCTGCTTCCCTTCCTCTTCCCTCCCCCATTCCCCCACTCCGCCCCTCCATCGCCTCCGCTCCCACCCCCTTCCTCCACCCGCCCGCCCGCCCGCCCACCGGCCTGCAGCCAGCCCCGGGCCCTCCAGCTCCGCCCCGCCTCTAGTCAGACTCCCTCGCGAGGTGCCACGGAACCTGTAGTGCGCTTGCTCCCGGCCGCACGCACCGAGAAGACTACGGGACCTCAGCTCCCGACGTGCTCGATGTGGTAGGACGCGGAGCCTTCTGGGAGTTGTAGTTCCTTCCTCTTCCGGAAAGTAGGGTTTCGTTACGAAGGAGTACCAAGGATGGCGACTAACGGAAAGAAGGGAAGGACGACTGACGCGACCGAGAGGACGAGGGAGAGAAAATTCTTCCGAGAACTTGCGGCTTCCGGGGAGGGAATACCAGAAACCCCAGAGAAAGTGAAGGGGGTTATGAATGACTCCTCCTGACAGCTTGAATTTCCTCTTGGGGCTGCGCGCGCGTCAGCGATCACGTGGGCGGCATTTAAAGGAAAAGCGCCACGTCACGTGAGGAGAGCGCGGGCTCCAGGCTTGAGGGTTTACTTTTCCTTCCTGACTTCCAGAATGTCAGTGGCTCACTATTTGGGAGAAAGAAAATAGTGCTTGCTGTGGTGGCGATTTCTAGCATATTCTAGGTTTGAAAGCTTAAAAACTAATCCCCCCAAAAGTTAGTCCACTAGGAGGGAATTTCACTGCTGAGAAAATAACACAGTGCTCTAAATAAGGCCAAATCTTTTGACCTATTATGTCTATGGAAGCAATCTGAGATTAGTTACATAAGTAGCATAGCAAAACATGAACTAAAATCCAAATAATGATTTTCCTAAGTGATACATTTGGGTGATTTACTTTCTTTGACTCTCTCTATAGTCTTTATTTTTTAGCAATTTTACATTTAGAGTCCAAGTTCAAAGGCATATATGGAAGTTTTATTTTTAAAAAAAAACAAGTTATTTTGCGGGGTATGCTGGAACACTCCTGTAATCCCATCACTAGAGGAGGAGGGGTGGTAACTTCAGGAGGATATTGAGTTCAAGGCCAGCCTATTCTATATAACGAGACAACCTACACAAAATAGTGGAATAGTTAGACTTGAAGAATTGTTTCCCAAGAGCTTTTTAGTGATAACGGGAAGAACGATGTTGATAAATAAATAAACTAATCTGAGGATCTTGTTTTGAAGCCAGCCAAAGCAGGAAAATCCGTGAGAATTGTATCTTCAATTAACTGCCCCCCCCCCCCAAAAAAAATCGGAAATAGAGATGTCGCTGAAGTAGTAGAAAGCTAGCCTTGAGCAAAAAAGCTTAGGGACAACACTTGAGCACTGAGTTCAAGTTGCAGGATACACACACACACAAATATATATATATATATATATATATATATATATATATATATATACAATAAAAATAGTAATAATAAACTAAAAAGCAGAAGACCAAATTACACATAGATTTTATATAGCTGGGTGCCTGTGGTCCACACTGAAATCCCAGCTACTCAAGAGCTGAGATATTAGGATTACAGTTTGAAAACAGTCCTGGCAGACAAATCTGAGAGACTGTTATTCCAATTAGCCACCAAAAAACTAGAAGTAGAGCTGTGTCTCAGGTGATAAAGTGCCAGCCTTGAGCAAAAACAAGCCAAGCCAGAGCATGAGGCCCTGAGTTCAAGCCCAGAACTCTCTCTCTCTCTCTCTCTCTCTCTCTCTCACACACACACACACACACACACACACACACACACACGTGACTATTAAAAGGAGGAAAATTACATTAAAATGCCATTAGCTTTTATAGTATTATGAAATAGTTTTTTCCCATCTATTTTCAGAGAAATGGAGGCAAAGAGAATCTTACAATTTATGGCTATTAAGATAGTGATAGTGAGCCAGGTTCTGGTGATTCATGCCTGTAATTCTAGCTACTCAGGAGGCTGAGATCTGAGGATCATAGTTTGAAGCCAGCCCAGGCTGGAAAGTTCCTGAGACTCTTCTCCATTTAACCACCAGAAAACCAGAAGCAATATTGTGGCTCCAAGTGGTACAGCACCAGCCTTGAGCAAAAGAAGCTCAGGGACAGTACCTAGACCCTGAGTTCAAGCCCCAGGACTGGCAAAGAAGAAGGAGGAGAAGGAGGAGAGAAGAGCTTCTTAAGCTTTCTTTTCACATTATGGCTTTTAGAATTTCCTTCCTGTTACAGAGAAGCAGCCCAGAGTTCTACCCTCCAGCTGTCAGGGCCTAAATTAACAGCTCTCTAACTGATTTTCTTTCTTTCCCCCCTAATACTCAAGGGAGCTCAGCCACCTGGTATATACAAGAGCTCCTAGGCAGCAGCTGCCTACCTGGACTGCCCCTAGAACTGATTGCTAAGGAGATGAATTAACTCTTCAGTGGGATGTGGTTATAACCCCTAAGGAGTTAGAGCACTGGAAAGAGGTCAGTGTTCATCCTTTACTTATCTCAAACTACCACTGCTGGACACCAACAGTCAGGTCATACTATTATTACCCTCAATTTCAGCTTCACCCTACATAGCCAATGCTTCTGCCATCTTTGTTGCCAAGGTACATCAGGCATACATAGTTGAAGAGGAATTGCTATACTGGAAACAAGATGAGTAAATACAAGTTGTGAATTGTTTAATGAAATATTAAGATTATATATGTTGTGACTTGTTTAATGAAATATTAAGATTATATGTCTTCTGCCTTTACCTGGCGCATTCAGCTGCCATAACACTGGCTGACAGGAATGTATCTTCCATTCAGGAAATTGGAAGGACTTTTCTGAGGAATCTGACCAGCTAAAAGACAATGAAAATACTAGCACTGAGAGTTGTTTCTCTAAGGAAATAGGCCAGGCTAGTCACCAACAATGAAGATAGTGCTTCTATGAAGCAGGTAGCACTACCCTTTTTTTGGGGGGGGGGGAGTGGAAATATCACAAATTCAATGCCTCAGGATTTTTTTTTTTTTCGGTCGTGGGTCCTGAACTCTAGGCCTGGACGCTGTCCCTCAGCTCTTCAGCTCAAGGCTAGCACTCTATCACTTGAGCCACAGCACCACTTCTGGCTTTTTCTGTTTATGTGATACTGAAGAATCAAACTTAGGGCCTCATGCATGTGAGGCAAGCACTCTACCATTGAGCCACATTCCCAGCTCCTGCCTCAGGATTCTTAACCACTTCAGCCATGCCCCCAGCACTTTTTGGCTTTAGGAACTTTTTGGGGTAGGGCATCTCAGTTTTGTTTGGTCCAACCTCAGGCTCAAGCCAGCATGCCTAGTTTTTAAAAACTGAAATGATGCTGGGCATCGGTGGCTCATGCCTATAATCCTAGTTACCCAGGAGCTGAGATCTGAGGATGGTGGTTCGAAGCCAGCCTAGGCTGGAAAGTCTTGTCTGTGAGACTCTTTAATCTCCAATTAACCACCAGAAAACTGGAAATGGTGCTGTGGCTCAAAGTAGTAGAGTGCTAGCCTTGAGTAAAAAAGCTCATGGACAGCATGCAGGCCCTGAGTTCAAGCCCCATGACTAGCAAAAAATAAAATAAAACAAATTGAAATGGTGTCTTTTTGCACAGGCTAACCTTTTACATCATTGTAAATTTTCAAAGTTCTGGGGACAAAAGAAAGATATCTGGAGTGGAAACCACATAGTGAATTGAAGGCCAGCCTAAACTACATGATGGAACCCTATCTCAAGAAAAACAAAGCTAGGGGCTGGGAAGGTGGCTCAGTGGTAGAGCGCTTGCCTTGCATGCATGAGGCCCTGGGTTCGATTCCTCAACACCACATAAGCAAAAAGACAAAAGCCGGAAGTGGTGCTGTGGCTCAAGTGGTAGAGCGCTAGCCTTGAGCTGAAGAGCTGAGGGACAGTGCCCAGGCCCAGAGTTCAGGCCCCACGACCGGACCCAAAAAAAAGAAAAGAAAAACAAAGCTAGGCACTGGTAGGTCACACTTTCAATCCTAGCTAGTCAGGAGGCTGAGATCTGAGGCTCAAGGTTCAAAGCCAGCCCAGGCAGACAAATCCCAGCAAAAAACTGGGAGTGCTTAGAACAGATCATGTTAAATGAGGTAGGCCAAGTTCAGAGAGACAAATGGTATAAGTTTTCTCTCATATGTGGAAGCTAGATCTAAAATATACTGGATGTGATAAATTATACAGCACTCTAGGCATTCACACACAGAGACCAAAGAAGGATACTCTGAGGAGAGGAACAAAAAGGTTTAATGCCTACATGCATCTGATCATATAAAATAACATTTATCAAAATGAACTCCAGAAAATGGAAACAAAAAATCTGTGAGTGGGGATGTGGCTCAAGTGATGGTTTTTTCAGGTCCCAATACTGGCACACAAACAAGCAATATATAAATTGTTCACAGATTGTTAACAGATATATCACTGCGTGTAAGAAAGTATAAAGATTAAAAATCAAAAACAGCCAAGTAAAGTGGTACATACCTATAATTCCAGTTACTCAAGCAACTGAAGCAGGATCAAGGATGGAGGCAATACCTATAATCTTATCTCAGGGGTGGGTGGGGGTATTAAAAACAGACCAGAAAGAAACTCAAGAAATAGTTATTTTTCTTTCAATAAGTGGGAAAGCAAGTGAGGGAGAATAGAATAGGGTGTGGGTCAAAAAAGGACTTCAACTAACTGTTAAGTCTTGCTTAAAAAATAGGAAGAAAATTTGATAAAATTGATGAAGTTATTAATTCTGAGCAGTAGGAATATGGGCATTCATGTTGTTCTTTCTGCCTTTAAGTCTCTTATACTAAAATCAAAACTGATGATTGGGAATGTGGCTTAGTGGTAGAGTGCTTGCCTAGCATGCATGAAGTCCTGGGTTCAATTCTGCAATGCCATGTATACAGAAAAAGCCAGAAGTGGCACTGTGGCTCCACTGGTAGAGTGCTAGCCGTTAGCAAAAACTCAGGGA